TGAATGGTTGCTAATGAGAAAAAAAGTAAGTAAAGTTGCCATGGTGGCGTGCCAGAGCAGGTGACGAGTGACCGGTGAGTAGAAATTAGCTAGATACACACTTGAATCAATAGCGACATAGCGTCCTGTCATTATGAGGTGAATAGGGGTGTTTATTTTGAAAATTCCCATAATTATGTAAAAATATATATTTATATTTGTTGATTTACTTTAAATGCAAAATTTGTGGAAACCATGAGCTAGTAGATATTCTAGGAATTTGTGGATGTCAAAGTATTTGAAATTTGCTTTGATCATATATATACAAGTGATATACATAAAGGATTTTAAAACTGGGAAACAAGCTTTTTACTATAATTTCTATCAAAATGTGCCTTATTGATTGTGTGATGTGCATTCATGAATAAATTTCATATTCACCATGCTGATTTGACATCTAAACCTCGTGCAAAAGTTTTATAATGTAAAGTCTTACAAAAATGAGGTTTTATCATGTTATTGTGATCGGTATTTTGAAAATGATTTGAAATAATCCTTTGAAAACCCAATTTGGTTTTTAAATGGTTTTATCAAACTTGGAGATTCAAGAGTAGGCTGATTGTCACTTCTGTTAAGTGTGACCATTGTACACAAGTGAGGTCTAGCTAGAGAATCTTTGGATCACCGATGAGCTGTTAGACATGGCTAAGGCCATGGTCTGTGATTGTACATGGCTAGGCCACAAGTTGTAATACGCGATTTTGATCGCCTAATTTCTCCGATGTCGGCCAACATTGTTAAGACTACCATGGCTTGTGGGGATTTGGTGGAGCGGAGCTCCCAGATGTTATTATGTGAAAGCGGGTCCACGTGTTCTTTATTACTGTTCTTACTCAAAAGTGATCTCTTTGGGTTTTCACATACGTAGTTTTCGCATGGTGAGAAATAACAATTTTTCTGCAGCTCCCGTACTTATAAAATGACATTGGATTTAACTCTTCGTGTATGAGGTGATTTATGAATTTGCATATAAGCTTTGTTAATGTTGGATTTTATGGTAGCATGCATGACAATACTAAATTGCTTTAAGCCAGTTGTTATATGATTTCGATGGCAAGGATCTTTATATGTCTTAGTTTGATATCTAATTTAAATGATTATCTTGTATTAACTTTCCGGTTTTGTAAATAAGGCATAAACCTCCCTTTTGAGTTAAATTGTTTACATATATCCTTATATTTTTTTTAATATTCAAATCTTTTGCCTTTAGCTTGTTTCCTATCTATGCCCTACTCATGGAGTTGATGATCACTGAGTCTATGAGACTCACCCCCTTATTTCCTTTTGCAGATAAGTAATCGGTTTGAATACATCTCTCAACACATCGAGACTAGCTACAACGTAGGTAATGGCATCTCTAAGACTTCCACTCCGAGTCACTCCATTGCGTAGAGGTTATGTTGTGTAGAATAGCCAAACTTATAAGATTAATAGCTTATTGGAAATGCATTTACTAAAACTTGAGGTTATGT